ATTTGCTATTGTTAATGCATTGCTTTAAGACCTTCACTGACTTTTTGTGTCTGAAGACCGAGGTGAAATCCCCCCCCAGTGTCAAACCTTTAAGTAGCTTTGTTCTGTAGGTGCAGGATTTCACCCTTAGTGTCTCTAGGAAATACTAAAAAGCCTTAACAGATAAATTGATTCAAATTCTTAGGTTAATTCATACATGGACCCAGAATTTACCATAAGAATTAAATCAGAATTAATGCTAAATTATATAGTGGAGTAAAACCATTCTTCCCCCCCCCACCCAAGAGTGGCATTAAATATTTCTAGATGCCCAAGTTTTGTGTAAAATAGGGGAGAAATCTTAAATTCTAGTAACATCAAATGAGTGAATGAATGAGTTGAATTTAGCTGCTTCATGCAAATAATTTGGGAATCCACTATTCCATGGAAATGGTGTGGAATTTGCACAAACTGTCAGCATGGTTTCCAGAGTCAGTGTTGTTTGTGTGATGTCCGTGAAGTACTAGTTTTGTTGCACAGATTTAATGGTTGGTGAGTGGCATTCCAGTGTCTATCATGAAGCTAGGCCAAGATTTTAATGTTGTCTTTCTCTGTGATTTAAGTTCTCTTGTGATTTTGTTTTCCCTTCCCCTCCTTTTTTTTTTTTTTTTTTGTTTTGTTTGTTTGTTTGTTTTGTTTTCTGATTGGAATTAATGCAAGGATTTTTGTAGGAGCTTTCACTTTTTGGTACTGCAGTAGCCTAGTTATTCTGCACTGAAGTACGAGCCAGTAGTCCCAGTGTTGCCAGTTCCTGTTGTCTCGCTGTAAATGTGGAGTTGTTTGTTCCATTAGAGCTTTGGTCCCTGAAGGTTCACTTCTTCATAGTAGCCAAACTCAGCTGCAGGGGAACATCTGAAGATGTGGCTCTAGTTCAGGACACTGGACTGGAAAGCTGGGAACAGGGAAGAGCAGCATTGCCCTAAGGTACACCTAAACAATTCCATGGAAATTTTACACAGGTATGTAAAAATTGCACTGTGTAACTCGGACCATTTGTGTGATGCCAAAGGTGCGGCTGCCTGAGAAAAGTATTATTTTGCTTCTACAAAAAAAAAAAAAAGAAAAAAAATTCCCAGAGTGACTGTTGGAGGTGGAGAGCTGCAAAGCTGGCAGGGGAACACATCCTGTATGTTCTTTAATTTCCATGTGGCTGAGGGAAATCGTGGTTTCCCCCACACCCTTCACCAAAACCCAAAGCCCCTTTCCCTCCTTTCAGCTTCAATGTGAAACGTAGATAATGAAATATTCTGAAAAACAGCAACAGGAGAACCTAATGTTGTACTGTAAGGACCAATAAGAACGGATTCTCGATGCCACAAAGTGTTTCAGAGCTTCCAGGGTTAAAATGTGTTGGAGACAGTTATTTGCACATTTTAGGCACTCTTGACTATACAAGAAGAAAGTAGCAAAAGTTGATAGTATGCCTTGAGCAAATGGAAGTAATCTTAGGGTTGCTTTAATTTTGGTAACTGAGTCACACTGCATGTAAAATTAGGGCTGGTCTAAAATTCTGACGTTCATTTAACCAAAAACTCTTAGGAAATTGTAGCTGAAATGTCTTATTCATCGAATGTGGATTTATATAGCTCTACTATAAAGCTATATATAAGCTAGTGTTGGGGTTTTTTTTTTCAGCAAATGTGATCTGTAGCTGCCAGTCTGATTAAATTAGTACAAAATCCATTTAGATTAGCCCTTTAAAAAAAATAAATAAAAAAGCCCACAACCAACCCCCCCATGCTTTCCCAGAACATCCCTGGGTGCTTGTCTGTCCTGAGAGCAACTACTGAAGGAGCCCATAAGTCACTGACCACGTTCACCTGTGGAATCGCCACGTGTCAGGGAGTAACACCTTCTTACAGCAGCTTTAATGTGACCCTGCTGAACACCTGCATCGTTGGTTTGCTCCAAACTCAATTCTTCTGACCAGTTTCACTGCCCTAAACTTCTTTTTTTTTTTTTTTTTTTTTTTTTTGTTGCTAACTGAGAAGTGTGGACTTGGTCACAGTAACAGGATGGGTAAATACTGACACACACAATCTTCTGCTCTTGTCTGTACTATGAAGCAATACAATTATTACCTTCAAAGACCATCAAACTGTAAAACAAATCATTTTGTCTCAAGTTTACATAAAGCTACATAGATGGTAAATCTTTCCTAACATTTCTTTATTCCACTGTCTTGTGTTTTCATGTTGAAAATACTTCTGCTTTTTCCTCTTGAGTGCCAACTTCTTACTAGAATGACTTCTTAATGTAATATGTTTACCTGGAATGTATTTTAACTATTTTTGTATAGTGTAAACTGAAACATGCACATTTTGTACATTGTGCTTTATTTGATGTGGAACATATGCAGTGTGATCCAGTTTTTCCATAAATTGGTTGTGTGACCTAGGAATGTTGGTCATGCCAGATATTAAGTTAAAAAAAAAAAAAAAAGGAAAAAAAAAAAGACCACTGTTTGTTTTTAAATTTTTAATGTTTTTAGGAGTACGTGCTGTGAGGTGATCTGGAATTTGTCATTTTTTTGTCAAACTGTACTGCTCCTATTTATTGTAATGTAATAAAAAATAGTTATTGTGAGTTTCTGTCCCAGCTTCCTTTTTCTCTGCGAGAACGTCGGTGCCTCATCCCGGTAGTGGAGCACGCCATGAACTGTGTGAGTGTTGGGAATTGTTCTCCCTTTATTTCTTGCATTTCTTCAGGTGCTGCCTGTCCCAGAGGTGCTGCCCCTGGGTGTTCCCTGCCTCTCACAGGGGAAGGTTTGACTGCACCCGATTTCCGAGGAGCTCCTTTGATGTGGAGGGGCTGCTTTTCCCATCGGTGCGGCCCTAGAAACTGAAGTGCGGTTTCGTCACGCAGCAGTGTACCCTGCCATGTTTTTTTAAATTCTCTTCTAGGATTTTGTGTGTGTGGAGGGAATTTTGTGTGGGAATGGATCCCTCCCGCTGCCTCCTCCTCAGCAGTGATCTCAGAAATGCTCCTTAGGCCCCGACAAGGAGCACCTGGGCTGAGCTCCTCCTAAGTCTACCAGGAACACTGTTCCCACCCACCTTAACAAGCTGGTTTTAAACCAGCCTTGGAAACTTAACTTTTCTTGCCTGAGTGGAGCAGCATTTCTGTTATCAAGCTTTCAAAGAAAGTTACCGACGCGACTTGTGGTCAGGATGAAAAATTACTGTGACTAAATCCAACTCTCTTGTGGATGTGTAAGCAGCAGTCCTGAGGAAGATTCTGGGAGCTCTCCTGGAACACACCAGCACCTCCCTCTGAGTGAGGCCTCTCAGAGCCACTGAACTCTCCAGTTTGCTGTGTTTGGAGCAGCAATGGCACTGAATTCCAGGGGAATTTTTCACAGGTATATACTTCCTACATGCCCCTTGAGGTCTGGGTGAGTGTGGATATCCTACAGCAAATGTTCTGTGAATGTTGCTCTCCTAAATTCTTAAGTTCTTTGGTTTTGTAAATGAAATAGGCCTATGAGTTTCTGTCGTGCTCACGGTCAATGCTGTATGAGCCTTCTGTTAAATTGTTTAAATCAGGGTGTCAATTAAGTGATGTTAAGTTTAAGTGCTGTTAAACTGTTAGGCCTGAACCACTGGTCAAGTCTGGGGCTAAGTCTGGCAAGGGGGTCCAGCCTGAACATTCTGACTCCTCAGGAGGATCTTCATTATTTCTTATATCCTTCCCCTTTTCCATCCTCAGCCTCCACACAGATAATTTTTGGTTGACTATAGGTTTAGATTGATTCATTTTAGACTTTAGTTGGCTTTTTTTTCTCTGTCTGTTTTAACATCTAGTGAGTAGTGGAGTGAATTTTGCCAATGGACTTTGTCACGCGTTTATATTAAACTTGTGCCAGCAGTTCTTTCAGTAACCCTAAAATACTTATTTGTGACAGTGTGAAGACTGGCTATTGCCAACAGCTCTGCTGCAGTCATTCCTTACCTATATTTCAAAGATTATTTCTATCTCCAGTGTCATTTAGTTGGTGGAAACACCAACCAACCCTACAAGGTACAGAGTATCAGCTCTGGCACAAGTCTGTGCGAGTCGAGCCAAGGCCTGCAGAGATACCCTGGAGCAAACAGCCATGGCCAAGCTTCTCTTCCCAGGGCAAAGATCAAGTTTTCCATTCCTGCAGCAGTTACACAACACCAGAAATTAGCAGTAGCAGAAATTGCCTTCAGGGTCCACTTGGCTTCAGCTCAAACCACTGCTGTTCAAACTCCCCCCTGTCCTGACCCCGAAGTCATTCTCCTAACATGGGAAGGTGGTGCCTCTGCAATTTAAGCAGATGAGGTTAAAAACTTTAGGAATTGACTTTCAGAGAATCACAGAATTGTCAAGGTTGGAAACAACCTCTGGAGATCATCCAGTCCACCCCCCTGCCAAGGAAGGGGTACCTGGAGCAGGTGACACGGGGACACATCCAGGTGGGTTTGGGATGTCTCCAGAGAGGGAGACTCCACACCCTCCCTGGGCAGCTGTTCCAGGGCTCTGCTACTGGTAAGTGCAAAGAAGTTCTTTCTCATGCTGAGGAAAAAATTCTGGTGTTTTAGTTTATGGCCACTGCTCCTTGTTCTGTCTCTGGGCACCACTGAGAAGAACCCGGCACCCTCCTCTGACCCCCACCTCAGAGATATTTATATGCATTGATGAGATCCCCTCTCAAGTCCTCTCCAGAATAAACAGGCCCATAAGTTTCCCCTCATAAGACATACTCCAGACCCCTAAACATCTTTGTGGCCTCCACTGGACCCTTTCCAGTAGCTCCCTGTCTTCCCTGAACTAGGGAGACAGAACTGAATGCGATACTCCAAATGTGGCCTCACCAGGGCTGAGTGGAGAACTTTACTTTTGAGAAGGTGAGTGGAAATCAATCATTCAATGCAGAGGACTTTCAAGTTAAGCGTCCAAGTAACAAGCATTAGCACTTTGAACTGACATTCAAGCAGTTATGAGGTAAGAAGAGCTTCTGTTCAACATATATTTTGAAGTGTGCAAAGTGAAGAGCTGTGCAACCACCCCTTCCTGCAAAATCCTTTCACACCTTTTTTAGAGAAAACACAACTCAAGCAACTGCTTGAGGGGAAGCAAAAGTCCTAACTTGTACCTTTAAGAGGGGCTGGAAGGAATTACATTTCATTTCTTTTGAGGTTACATCTCCTTTATTGTCAGTTTTCGTGGATGTGCTGGTTGCACGCGCAGTCACTGGTTGTCATCGCTGTAGTAGCGCTGTTTCATGGCTCGGTATTTCCTCAGGAAGTACAGAGCCTCCAGCTCCTTTATAACGAATTCTCCCCGTGCAATTAGTTGCTTAATTTTCTCGGGGTCTTTCTCATCCTTGTGTTTCAGGAAAGCTGCTTTCAAACGGGTTCTAAAGTAGTCTGCTCCTTTGGGGTACTCCCTTCCAAGGTACAGCAGCTTGGAGAGAAAAAAAAAAAATGACGTGTTTTTAAGAAACTGAGTGTGCAGTGAAAGAGGTTCATTTTCTGGTTAAGGAAGGTGCTGGTGGCATTTAAGACACTTACATTTTTGTACAGTCTCACCACTTCACCTCTTAAAGAATTGGCCATTGTCACATTTCGGTGAACTCTTTGTTCTTGTCTGATTGGTTTGGTTTGGTTTTTTTTTACCTGAGGGATAATCAGTTGGACATTAGCCTTGCCTGGGAGTCAGTAAACCCCAGCCTCCTCCTCCTCCTCCTCCCTAGGGCTCCTGTATCCTACTGAGTCCCCTTGGCTCTAACTCCTTATTTTCTGGTTCTACTCTGTCTCTTCCACTTTTGGCTTCCTAATTTTTGTTCCATTTAGCTGCTCTTTCTCTTCTCTCTCACCTCTGATGGAAAACAAGAAACTTCCAAAAGCTTTCAACCACTGTGGCACTTTGTGCTGTTCATCAGCCTCTTCCTCA